CAGAGCACTTACATCACGTGAAGCCTGCAGGACTTGTGCATGTCTAAAAGGAAACAGCTGAAATACACCACAGACACAATTTTATGACACAAGGAAACAGATTTTTACTGCTCAGAAGTCCTGGACAGACATGGAATACAAGATTCAGGGCATCACATCAGCATCCTGTTCCAACTACCTGAGAAGTTGCAGCTGACCAGCCACAAGGACAAAAGGATTAAAAAGGAGTTTCTCCCAAGGGACAGTGTCCAGCCTGAAATCCCCTGGATCATCATCCACCTGGGGTGCTGATCACACAGGGAAAAAGTGTGGAGCCTGGGCAGGAGCCGCCACCCCTTGACTCACCTGTGGGCACTGCCCTCCCAGCCTAGGCAAACACTGACACTGTCCGTTCCAGGGCTCACCCACACCTGGCAGCAAGCTCTTGTCCTTTGGCAAAAGGATCAAATACTCAAATGTCTCTACAGAGGCAGCAGCAGCAGCGTGAGAGGGACACAACATGACTCAGGAGCTTGTCCGAGCTGGCTTACAGTAGGAAAACACTCAGGGAAGAGGATCCAGCTCCATGTCCTTCCCTCTTGCTACTCAAAACATGCCCAGAGCCTCCCAACAATCTGGCAGTGCTACTTCCCACTGTGTGAGACACTCTCCCTTTAGTAGCAGCTTCCCACGCTACCTTCTTCCTCCTTCCCATAAGGCATCTATGGCTTTTGAAGATTTTTTTCTTTTTTAAAAAAAATCAGTGAAATTAGCGACCGTGGGATCTCTGGAACCGCCAGTGCTGACGGCAGCACATCCAGCAGTGAGGATGAAATCTGCTACAAACACACTTTTCTTCAGCCAGCAGCTCAAACTGGAAGTGGCCCGACTTGAGGCCACAAACACCGCAGAGACGCTGAGCAGGCAAGAAGAGCGCAGAGGTGCGTGACAGCCACACAGAGCTGTGCCAGACCACGGTCCTTGTTCCAGTGTCAGGCTCTTCCAGGCTCCAAAAGGCACAGCCCCACCCGCCCCTACCTCAAGGGGAAGGAGAAGTACTTGTTCCCTGACTTGCAGCGGATTTGCTCCCATTGGATACGCAGCAGGAATGCTGACTCCTCAAACCCATCCACAATGTCCTGGAAAACAGAGACAGGAGTCAGTACCAGGAAAGTGGATCTGCCAGAGGAGGGAGTTGGCAGCTCCCTCTCTGAAGCAAGTCACAGACGAAGCCATTTGCAGCTGGGAAGCCTCTGACTTCCCTCAGGAGGGTGATTTAACTCACGCTCCCTCCAAAAGCTTCTCGTCTTTGAGCCCACTGAAGTTTGTCCTGCTTGGTTGAAGAGAATGTCCCACTCTCCAGCCCTGGCAGGGAGATGTGGCTGGACTGCAGCTCTGCCCTCCCCCTGCTCTCCACACCAGCCCTGTCTGTGGGGACGCACCTGGAGCTCCCGCAGACACTGCCCTTCCAGCCTGCCAGACAGGTCCCCGACGCACCAGGCCAAGCTGATGTGGAACGATGGGTTCTGAGGGCAAAACAAAACAGGGATAAGGATGTGAGGGCTAAAGGAGGCTTTGGTCAGTGCACAGAGCCACAGTGGGAGATGCTTCTGCCCTGCCTGGGATCACAGAGGCTGGAGGATCCCAAAGCTGGGAGTCCCCTCTGCCAACTCAACAGCTGCAGAGCTGGTATGGACAGTGCTGGAGGCAAGAGGAGTCCTGGCTTCCCACCCCAGCCCCTCTGGACACCAGTGGGCAAGGCTGCCTGGTTCCCAGCCTCCCTGTGCTCAACTCTGCAGCTCTGTGCTCAACTTCTCCCCACTGTCCTGGAAGAATCTCTCAGAACTGGTCCCAGAGCAGGTACATGGGTCTGAATAACCCACATGAGCTCCCTGCTTGGCTCTAGAGACAGACAAACTGGGGTCTGGCCCTTCAAAATCCCAAACCTGTTCCCAAAGCTAGTACTAAGCAAAAAGGCTGGACTAATGTCCAAGAAAGCTGCCCAAAACAAAGACACAAGGATTGTCCTCAGTCCCACAGTGCCCATTCTATCCTAGGACAGCCCTGTTTCCATGCACAGCAGGGCAGCCACTGCAACTGGCTCCTGTTTATTTGAGTGAACATCTCGCAGGGAACCAGCTGGCATGTCCAGACTGGCAGGGGAGCAAGCAGGAAACGCCTCACCTTGTAGAATGTGGGAAGGTCAAATTCCTCTAGAACGCCATCCACCTCCGAGACCAGCTCCAGCAGCTGGAAATGCCCAGCAGAGACCTCCAAGCCAATAAAGGTCCTAAAGAAAGGCAAGGAGAGACAGCAAGCACCCTTTCATGCTGCAGAAAGCACAGCCCTGAGAATACTTCATTCCTACTGGGCAAGTTCCCTACTCCCTAACACAAGGAAATCTGGGGAATGCCAGGTTTAAAACAATGATGCTGATTGTATTCTGAAGAAAAACAGAAGATGTGGTAGCAGGGAGAAGCAGCACTGGATGATAAACCATGTAGATTTACTAGATTAGCCTAGTACCTTTTGGGACATGAAAATCAGTTTTCTAGGCAAAGGATGCACTGGATGGGAAATTCAGCAGAGTGCCATGCCCATGCAGGAGTTGCGTTAAAAAAGTGGAAGTTGTTGGTGAGGTTTTACAGTGTGAGAGGAAGCAGGGAATGGGAAGTGTCAAGCTGGAGAGATATGACAAAGAAGTCAGCACCTCCTCCAGGACTGTTGGGATGACACTTTCTAGAGTCATTTAGACTAATCATTTCTTCCTTTCCAAGAGGAAGCAGAAGATTCGAGCATCACTCAGGTTCCATATCTATTTTTTCCTACCCATGACTGTATTGGGCTGCCTTTCCCACCAGATTCAGCAACTTTCTGCAATTTTAATCACCTTTCCTTTGACATTCAAAAAAAATTAATTGCATTCCATTGGAATCAGGCTTCTGAGCTGGCGTCCAGGAGAATTAGCACCATCTCAGCTATTTCTCTCCAGCTCTTGGAAGACCTGCACTACAGTTTCACGACTGGCACTGCTGCCAAAAGAGGTGGTCCCACTCTTCTCGCCCCAGGCTGTGCATTCCAGCTAATGTGACCCAAGGCTTGCAGAGAATCACTGCCAAAGCTAAAAATTTGTACAGATGGCTGCGGAAAGGTGTGAAATGTCTGGAGATGATCTGGAGGTGATCACATACTGTGTTGTCACACAGCCCAGCCGTGGGACAGGCAGGGTGACACTTCCCATCCACCCAGCAACTTGCTCAGACTTGTCCTGGGGCAGGCAGGCTGCTCCACTGTGCACTCACCTGGTTTTGTTCTGGTTGGTGTAAACCTTCACTTGGTCAGCCACGCAGAAGAACCTGAAATAAGAAAGATCCTATTTCAGCTGCAGGGAAAAAAATAAAAAAGGAAAAGATGAGGAGAGGCCAGGACTGTTACCAAGCCATGGAAAAATACAGGCAAATATATAATGCAATCATACCAAATTGGTGCAACCAGAACATTTTGGGATCCAAATCAATTAATTCCCCTCCCGTTTCCAGCCCTCCAAAGCCGGGACAGTGACAGAAGCCCTGAAGCAGCTGATGCTCAGCCAGGGCCTGAACCAGATGTAAGCAACAAAACCATCCATGGCTTAGAGCATGGCACAGCTCTAGCCTGATCCTGGAAAGCCAAAACCTGGTGACAGATCCTGAGGCAGTGAGGAAAAATCCCCAGGGCTTTAATTTTCGCAGCACCAGCTGCCAGGGACACCTTAGGGTGTGGATGCTGGCAAAGCACGGATCCCGAGGGCAGAGCAGGGGTGTGAGGAGCGCTCTCCCGGGGCTCTGCCAAACCCACCTGTGGAAGGCGGCCAGGCGCTCCCTGAGCGAGCGAACGAAGGGCTCAATCCAGTGGTAGCGCAGCACCACGCACTGCGAGAGGCTCAGGTGGAACTCCTCCATGGCAGCCAGCGACGGGACGTAGGTGCGGGCGCGGGACACCAGCAGCTCCAGCAGCTCCAGGAATTCCTCCTGGGCAATGTCTGCGGGGCAGCGCCGTCAGAGGAGCCGGGACCGGCGGGAGCCGGGGAGCAGCGGCTGAGTTCCGTCCCGCCATCCTCCCGGTCCCGTCCCGGTCCCATCCCGGTACCTACAGGGCAGGTAGACGTGCGTGGCCCAGTTGCCCCGCTCGTGGGGGAAGCCGCGCACGCGGCCGCCGTGCCGGGAGCTGTCATCGCTCACGGCCTCCTCCGGGTCCGGGTCTCCCGGCAGGCCGGCGGGCGCGGGCAGGCGGGGGCGGCCGGCGCTGCGGGACCGGAGCGGGGTGAGAACGAGGAAGAGGAGGAGGAGGAAGGCCGCGCGCTCCCGCCGCCTCCCGCGCCCTCCCGCCGCCGCCGCCCCACCGCACCCACCTGGTCCCGGGGGGCCCCTGCGCGCCGCGGCCCCGGCTCCCCCCTTCCTCCTCCTGCTCCTCCTCCTGCTCCTCCTCGGAGCTGCTGTACCCCACCAGCGCGGCGCTCATGGCCGCGGCTCCCGCCGCCACGGCCGCTCCCCGCTGCCGGCGGCCGCGCAGTTGCCGCCGCCCCGGCCCGGCCCGCTCCGCTCCCTCCGCTGCGCTCCCGCCCGCCGCTCGCTCCCTTCCCTCCCTCCCGGCTCCCGCCTCCACGCCAGCGCGGGGCTCGGGCGCAGCGCGCAGGCCGCGGCCCTGCCGCCGGCGAGGCCTTCTCCCGCCGCAGGTGATCGGCCCGACCGCCGCCGCCGCCCTTTGTGTGCGCCTCGCCGGGGCGGGGGCGGCCCCGGGCGGGCAGCGACCCCCTACACCCGACCCCAGCGCGGGGCCTCCCGGAGCGGCGGCGGTGGTGAAGGCCTCGGGACGCCGTCCCCGCGCTGCC